GGGAGGCTTGACCGGCAGCGTCCACGTATGTGCTCCAGGGCTGTAGTGGGAGGGAGAGGAGTTGGGAGCCAGACGGAGGGTTCTGGACCCGTGCGTCTGTCAGCAGACAGGGAGGGACTCCCGTCCCAAGGCCTCAGGGGGAGAGTGAGGCGGAAGGGGAGGCTCGACAAAAAGCTTAAGTATGGTCTGTCCACCCTGTTCTCTCTGTTCTGCCCTCGGAGCCGTGTTCTTGGCACCTCCTGCCCCCTCCCTCTCTGGGAATCCCTTTCCAGGCCCCTTGCTGCCTCTGTGTCTCTGCTGTCCTTAGCGTTCCCTTTGGCCCTGCGGTCCCTGCTGGTCTCCGTTCCTCAGTTTCTGGTTCTATTATTCTATTTCTTTCCTCGGCCTCTGTGTCTTCTGCATCCCGCCCTCTTTCCGTGTCATTTTTCTGGTTCTGATTTCAGCTGTCTGGCTCACCTCCTCCCTCTCCCCGTCCCCAACCGTCTCTAGGCTGGGGGCTGCCAGCTCAGCTTCTTCCCTGGGAAGCCTGCAGTCAACGATTTCACTTCAGCCTCTTAGTCCTACCCTGGGTGGGCTCCTGCCCCTCGGGCAGGCTGAGCTGCTATTGGCTGGCATTGGGGTGGCACCTCCTCTAAAGCATGTTGTGGGCAGGACAGGGCCTGCCCGGGCTGGTCCTACTCCCGGCTGCCATCCCAGTCCCTCTGGATGGCCCCTGTGCCTGGGTGAAGCAGTCGTGCCCCAGGGGGCAGAATTAGGGGCCACGGCAGATGTTCGCTCACATCTGGGTTGGGAGAGAAGTTTAGGACTTCTGTGGTTAACACTGGGTGGTGAGCAGGACTCCCTGTTTGTCATATCGTTTCAAAGGAGGAGGGGAGGGGTCTCCGTCTGAGCCCACAAGACCTTGAGGGTTTAGGCAAGGAGTTGGGGGATCTGAGGACCCCTGGTTATTATTTGTGAAATTTGTATGGATGGCTATGTTGGGGAGGAGATGGCCCTGAGATTTCACCTCATACTCAAAAGGACTCCTTACCTCACAAATACACAGTTGTTCAAGACTGGTCGAGGCTCCCTGCCCTAGTCTCTAGACCAGCGGTTCTCAACCTGTGGGTCGCGACCCCTTTGGGGGTCGAATGACCCTTTCACAGGGGTCGCCTAAGACCATCGGAAAAACACATATACAATTACATATTGTTTTTGTGATTGATCACTATGCTTTAATGATGTTCAATTTGTAACAATGAAATTGGGGGTCACCACAACATGAGGAACTGTATGAAAGGGTCGCGGCATTGGGAAGGTTGAGAACCACTGCTCTAGACCATCCCTTTTCTTCTCAGGTGTTTCTGGGCCATTATCTGTCCCCACCTGGCCCCTCACTGCTTCTGTCCCAGTCAGACAACTGTGCATGCCGGCACTGGCACAGGGGGCTGGTTTATCCCTCGCCCCTGGCAGGGTCGCAGGCTCACACGCGGTGGGAAATCAAGGCTCAGGTGGGACCCGGGAGCCATGGGAGATGCCAGGCGCTTGGCCCCACATGTGGGGCTGGGGGAAGTGTTATAGGAGAAGGAGCTGCCTTTCTCCCAGGCCAGCCTCAGGGGAATAGGTTTCCTCGGCGGCGTCGCCAGAGGCAAAGCTTTCTCAGCAGAAAGCGGAGGCCCTCTCCCCACTGGTCCCCTGAGGGAGGCCTGGAGCTTGTACCGAGTGGTTTTGAGTCTTTCCCGTGGTGTTCACGTCTTCTCTTTGCCCCACAGAAGGGAATTGTGTGTGTCCTGGGCGTGGTGGAGGTGGGCATATACCTGTCCCTCTGCCCTCTCCAAGGAGACTAGAGCCTTTTCTCACCTGACCATCTCCCCCTCTTCTTCCTCTCTTAGTAGAGAAACATTTACCCAGGTCCAGGTAAGTGAGGACACCTGGAGTAAAAGGAAAGGCTGGGTGTAGGGGCATCCAGCTGGTTCCTCTCACAACTGCCCTCCAGCCCCCAAACCTGTATGACAGGTCCCTTGACTGGGCCAACCTCCGCCCACCACACTGGCTTCTTCATGAAATGAAACCTGGGTGTGTGGGTGGGGGTGGGGTGTTGGCACATGAAAGAAACTGAGCTGGGAGGGTACAGAGAAGGGGCTCCCTACCCTTCCCCACCCCCTTTCTCTGCACACTGCCTTCTGGACCTTTTTCTTCTTCTTACCCACGGACACCACCATCCACTTCACCTGGCCTCAGGTAGCAGGATGCCAAAGGCAGCGGGGGCATGTGGCCGAGGGGTGTCCTCTCCCCATTTTCCTTCTCATCCCGACACCTTCCTTTGACTCCATCTCCTTTCATCTCTCTTTGAAGTTGGATTTCCCACCTACTCCTCCCCTTCCAAAACCTCCCAGCCCCCAGCCTGGCCCTCGTCTTTCCGCTTCCTGGGGCCTCTTGTTGCTCCTTCCCTCCCGTCTTAGACACTTGTATTCTCAGGCTCTTCCCAGGCCCAGGGTCGCAGGGGTAGGCCTGCTGGTTTCCTGCGCCTGCTTCCGTTTTCCTCACCGGGCTGCCCCGCCCAGGCCCCTGCCTTCACCGGCCTGCTTCTCCGCAGGTGTTCTTCCGGGCAGGCACATTGGCACGGCTAGAGGAGCAGCGGGACGAACAGACCAGCAGGAACCTGACCCTGTTCCAGGCGGCCTGCAGGGGCTACCTGGCCCGGCAGCACTTCAAGAAGAAAAAGGTGCCACGCCCCAGCCTCGCAGGCAGAGCTGAGTTCCCGGGGTGGCGTGGGGTGGGGTGGGGGACTCGAGGGGGGAACATGAAGGGGCAGGAGGCTGGTCTCGGGGCTGTGAGCTATTGCCATCTGGGGGAGAAGATGTAGGGGCCTCCGGGGGCCACCATGCCCTCGCCAGGCTGGGGAATGGGCAGTCCCTCGGTGCCAGCGAGAGTGCTGGTGGGCTCAGTGATGAGACCACGTGGCCTGGTCCAAGAGTTGGGGTGGAGTGGGGGCCCAGGGCCCAGACAGAGGTGGGCTGAGGATCAGAGGCTGCTCCGTGAAGATTAAGGAGCTGTGTCAGCGACTCCTTTTCTTATTAGCAAGTCCATAAAACAGCCAGCACCGCCGCCTCTGTGTTTCAGCAAGATTAGGTTTTATAGCGTTTGCAGGCCAGGGTGCTGGAAATAATCAGGCCGCCAATAAAGCAGATGGAATTATATTCCTAATGATGGCGGAGTGGCCGGTGCCCAGGGCCGTGCTCCCAGGGCCAGTCTCTGCCGCCCACTCTCTGAGGGAGGCAGAGAGGCTGGGAGCGAAGGGCAGCAGAGGGAGTTGGACTCCAGGATAGGTGGCCAGAGGAGCAGCCCAGCGCGGAGGATCCAGGCGGGGCCTGGTACTGAGAGCCCCACTGTGCGCCACCCCCACCCCACCTTAGATCCAGGACCTGGCCATTCGCTGTGTGCAGAAGAACATCAAGAAGAACAAAGGGGTGAAGGACTGGCCCTGGTGGAAGCTCTTTACCACCGTGCGGCCACTCATTGAGGTGCAGCTGTCGGAGGAGCAGATCCGGAACAAAGACGTGCGTAACAGCCCCGGGAGGCCCAGGTGACCGGGAGGAAAAAGACCAGTTCGTCCACGTGGGCAAGAGCCTTACCAGCTTTTCTTGGGCTCCCAAGTGCTTCTTTGTTTAGTCCAGAGAGCTGGTGTCCTTAAAATAGGCCCATCAAACGGAAGGCCCCCCTCTGGGGTGCTGGCTGAGCCCCTGGGGAGCCTCATAGGATAAAATCTTGGGCACCCCCGGAAGGCAGTGGCTTCCTGTTTCCTCGTGTCCTGGCCCCAAGCTTTCCCAGCTTTGTTCACCCCAAGGGTGCAGGTCCCGGGCCCTCACCTCTCGCAGCGCTCTGGCTCACTTTGCCCTCCTCGCTGCCC